CACCTGGACAGGTCTGCAGTCCATCACAGGGACACCTGGACAGGTCTCCAGTCCATCACAGGGACACCTGGACAGTGGACCCCAAGTCCTTGAAGTCCTGCACCTTTGTGACCTCTGCTCCTTGTAGCCTCACTGTTCCACCTCCTCCCTCTCAGTCACATGATTTGTTGGTTTTATTTATACCTTTCATCATTACCATCTCAAAGTGTTTCATAATAAAAGCAAAAGAACAAACGTTGCTAGCTTGTGATTTAAAAAGTGAAATAGTATTTTTTCTAAGTAATACACACTGCCTGACCAAAAAAACAAAGCTGCCACCAAAAGAAAAGGTCACACACTAATATTTGTTTGGACCTCCTTTATCTTTGATCACATCGTTCTCTGTGTCTTTGTTTCAGTAAACTTCTTCAACGTCACAAGATCTGTTTCATCCAGTGTTGACACTGGTCATGATGGTGCATCACTTCTCCTGCCTCGCTTCTGACCCTGATGCACCATCACTCTGGAACAGGGTCAGTCTGGACTCATCAGACCACATGACCTTCTTCCATTGCTCCACAGTCCAATCTTTATGCTCCCTAGCAAACTGAAGCCTTTTTTTTTTCTAGTTAGCCTCACTTATTAGTGGTTTTCTTAAGGCTACCCAGCTGTTCAGTCCCAGTCCCTTGAGTTCTTCACATTGTGTGTTTGGAAATGTTCTTACTGTCTCTATTAACCACAGCCCTGAGTGCTGCTGGTGTTTTTCTTCCATTTGATTTCACCAAACGTTTAAGTGATCACTGATCACGATCATTCAGGATTTATTTCTGGCCACATTTCTTCCTGGAAGACGATGGGTCCCCACTATCCATCTAGTTTTTAATAATGTGCTGGACCACTCCATGAGTCTTTCATCATGTTGTTGAAGAAATAAGAAGCAACTCATTGCACAAGTTGGAGTCAAAGAACTTGTTGCAGCTGAAACATAATCGTCCGTGCAGTGATGATCCAGCAGGAGGCTCGGACCTGTTTGAGTTACATCCAGGTGGAGACTTGTTTTTGTCCAGGCAGTGTATGTTCCTGGTGTCCATCCACAACGTTGACTCTACAGGTCCTTCTCAAAAAATTTGCATATTGTGATAAAGGTCATTATTTTCCATAATGTGATGATAAAAATGAAACTTTCATATATTTCAGATTCATTGCACACCAA